CACACACACACACACACACACACACACACACACACACACACACACACGCGCGCGCGCGCACGCAAGCAAGCAAATTGGCACTTCTCATGACACTTTAGAGCTGTACGTTGCTTACATTCAGAATCATTTCTAAATGGGCAAAGACAAACGAGTAAATAACAAATCCCCCTTTTTAAATCGCTGGCCATGTGTATTTCTAACAAGTTGATATTGTGAGCATGTGCACCACAATTCAAAGGGCTTTACAATCTGCACAACATACGACATCCTCTGTCCCAGGACCCTTTCATCAGAACGGGGAAAACTCCCCCCCAAAACAAAAAACTTTTACAGGAAGAAAAAAGTAAGAAACCTTTGGACAGCAACAGACTAGGGATCCGTCTCCCAGGATGGACTAAAGTGCAATAGATGTGTGCAGAGTGAACACTGCAGATGATATAAAAGATTCACATAATGAGAGTAGTAAGCAGAAAGACGATGGAAAAACATTACAACTACTAGGTCCACAAGACCAAGCATAGGGAAAAATAATCAGCTTTTTCTGCTCCAAACTATCGATACGATATCAGCCTTTAAAAATCCACTATCAGTCGATAGACACACCAACCAAATCAGTAACTTAACTCAATGCTGAAGCCAGTAGTCAGTATTTCTGACTGTGGTCTAAAGCAGTTAAAAAACAGTGTAACAACAACAACAACAACAACACATGCAGCTCCCCACAGGCTGTGACATGCCGTCAGTGTCCATGACTAAAGCCACGCCTGTACAGTCAGCTGCAGCCTGACGACAGCCAAAACATCCATCAGCTCACTACCAGGAAGTGAATTAAACTGCAGTCATGACACACTCACACACACCAGAGTGTGTCCCAGCTATAGTCATAAACACAGACGCACAAGTTCTAGCATGTCATCTATAGCCATCATCCAACACATTCATCTGTTCTGACAGAGCCCTGACACATGTGATTTAGTGTAGAGAGAGAGATTTTTTTTATTTATTTATTTTTGGGTCTATTCACATGTATAATAATAGTTTCAGACAGATTAGATATTTTTTCCAGAACTGCTGAGCTTGCTGATCCCAATAGGGGGCTTGAAAGATAAAACAAATTGTGAAGTTTCTAAAAACCTAAAATTGAATATCAATGGGTTGTTCTTGGATTTGGTCACCTGCCATGTCTGAACGTGGCTCAACATGGAAATTGGCAAATCGTTGCTCTTGCTCAGCGATTCATAAATATAGTGCGTCAGATTTTATAGTGGATCAGTTTGTGTGTAAGGAAAAAGCATTCAGCAAAATATGTCAGAAGGCCATGACAAAAGCATGTGTACCAGAACTCATGAAAACAAATATTGTGCTTTCACAATCGCAATGTCACAGAGTTTAGCTGCCAATTTGTATTGAAGCAATTTGTAAAAAAAACAAAAAAACCCTGCTAATCTCTTTATGAATCTTTCACCAAAGAAAACCTACGGATGTCCTTGACACAGGTCGATACGACAAGCCCACCAAGAAGAAGCAACTACTTGTTTTTATCTTTGGAAAAGTTAGAATGGGACACACTACTATAAAACTATCTTGATAAAATGTCTATTTACTTTACTTCTCTGTATGAACAAGGACAAAACTAATCCAGAACGACCAACAGAGAAAGTAACTGATGACACAATGGTGTGACCAGAACGGACTGATTGCTTGGGTTAATATTTGAAGCTTCAGCACACAAACTAACCTACAGTGGAGCTGAAGTGTTAACAGCATGAGGCACAAAGGGCTTCAGCTTTTGGATCAAACTCCAATGAAATGTAAACTGTGTTGAGCTATGCATTGAGTGTCATAAACCCAGCAGCAGCGCTGCAAAACAGCCCCAGAAAGAACATGAAGAAAACAATTGATTACTCCAACCTGCGTGGTATTTTAGACCACAGCAGCGCTACCGTCAACCCAAACACGCTAGTCCGGCATGGTAATGACATAATAGAGGGATGGGGAAAGGTGCAACCAGTGCAAACAAACACTCTTGAGACGGCGGTTGAAAAACATGTTTGGCAACACTTCTGTTGAAACACACCTCCTAACAGGGAGGAACCAGATAGCGGATTGTCGTGTCGGTCATAAAGAAGCGAGCTGAGGATGAAGCTTAAGATCCGAGCCTCTCCCGTCTGTCCCTCAGCCTAAAACAGAGGTGCGGTCCCAGGTAAACATTCCGCCTTCCAGATGTCTGCAGCGAGCATCAGGCCAAGACAAGACAAGACCTGCGACTCCTCCTTATCTGCAGATGCCCCAGGCTCTGCCCCCCCCCCCACCCTTAGCTTCTACAAACTGTCAGCAGAGTTTAACTGTCAGGGCCAAACCAATGTCATGTCTCAACCAGGTGGAAGACCATTATTTCTAAAGGGCATCAGGCAAAATGTGACACACCTCACATTAACTTACAGCTCAAAACCCAGAGTCAGGCTTGTCACGTCTCATCTCGCTCTGGGCATAAACCATCAGGAGGAAAGTTGCCCGAGTTTAATTAACTTCTGAATTTCATTTCTCACCATGTTACTGAGGGATGAGAGATTTTAGGAGCTGTTGTGGTTATTTTCATTCCTTATAAATTCAGTACACCAGTTAAGAGATTTCAAACGTGGTGTACGGCCTTACAAGGCCTGTCGTACAAGGGAAAGGGTTTTTTGGGCCGGCAGTAGCTCAGTCTTTGGGGACTCGAGGGTGGCCGGTTCAACGCCAGGAATGAAGTGAGGACTGGTAGCTGGAGAGATGGCAGTTCACCTCCTGAGTAGGGCTGGACCACACGGACCCGATGTCATATCTCGATGGAGATAAATATCATTATACGGCATTTTTTTCTGGTAATTCAATAAATGAATGGTCTACAATGAAATACCCACATGCTTTTGTAAACTATTGACAATTAAAAATAGTTTTTTTTTTATCTAATAAAGAACTTTAGTGCAAAATAATCTGTTCGTTAGTATGAGTTTGTTATTATAAATTTAGACGACAAACTGTGCGTCACGATATACGATATGATTCAAGATGATAAATTATCAAATGGAATTATTGTCCAGTCCTATACCTACCGAGGGGCCCTTAAGCAAGGCGCCCGGCTATGGCCGCCCCATCACTCACTCATCTCGCCACAACAATAAAGCAGGTCTCTAGGCCCTGTGTGTGTGTGTGTTTATGTGCAACACAGGATTGCATTTCTCTAAAAAAGGTATTGATAAAAGTAAAACCTTCTTCTTAAATATTCCTCATGGAGAATTGCACCTCCCAGTCATGTCACCGGTGAGACTCACCTGTTGCAGAACTTTGTCCAGCGGCTCAGCTTTGAGGATGTCGTCCACAGTCAGCCCCGTCTCCTCTTTACACGGATCCGTCAGCTCCAACGTGTCTGGCTTCACGAGACATCTGTGAAGCTTCCCGACCTGTGGACGGATTTAACGGTTCATGGCGCAGAATACAGCGTGAAACATGCTTCTTTTAAAAAATATATATATGGCAAATTACAGACTAATACACCCACATTCAAGAAATTAACTCTGTTTGTATCAAGAAGCTGACATGCCAAACCAAAACGGTGTGTTTTTTTTCCTCCATGCAGGTGAAGATACAGACCTCACCTGCTGGTTAAATTTTGGTCGCACACCTGTGAAAAGGTGAGCTAACGAGGTGGCTGGACGGAGAATTGTACGTAGCGTTAGCTAAGCATTGGAGAAAAGGGATTCAGGGAGCACACCATGTTGATTTAAATGTCAAACAAACTGTTCCACTACAAGTAGACACTATGCCACAAACACTCTGGGTACACAACGAACGAACGGGTCAGAAAGGTCCGTACCTTTTTCTCATGTAGATCCACAATTTGCCACACCAAGAGAATTATTTCCCTCTCATCCGAACCCAGTTTACCCCCATTTGCACCAGCTGTTGCCCCAAAGAACACCACCAGAGTATCACTGTGCGAAGCCATCAGGGACCACAAGGGTAAAAACTACAATTAAAGCAAAGATTAAAATAAAAACAACACGAGGGTTCACCTTTTTCCAAGTGATAAGAAGAGCGAACAAAAGGGCTGGAAACTCAATTGAGGTAAACGGAGAGAGAGAGAAAAAAAAAAGGAGGTGGGAGATTATTTTCAGAGGAGCCACGAAAGAGTTTGCGGTCAGAGACTCTACCTGTTGAAGTACTTGAGTGTGTTCTATCCAGAGATACTGGTTTAACTGGTAAAGAAGGGTGCAAATCCGTGTTTCTTTCACACGAACTCCATAACAAGCCCTGGAGTTTTTTTTTTTCCTCCTCTCCTTTCTATTTTTTTCCCTGAGTTACCTGTGTGGCTCGTCCTCCGCGCGAGGAGAGCTCAACGGGCCTCTTCTATTGGCTGGTTTGGAAAGGTGAGGGTGGGAGGCTGTGGCGGGTGCTGTGATCTCATTGGTCAGATCTGTTGAATCAGGAAGTAGTCTGGCAAAACTGAGTGGTAATGCAGTACCTCCATGAGGCAGCCTATTTATGACTCACAGTGATAGTGGAAGGCAAATGAGCAGCACTTAAATGCACAACACCCGCAAAGATACACCTGAAAACAGAGCGACTTTTTAATGTTTTGAGAGTGTTTATGTTTTAAATGGTTTGATTAGCCTAGTTTTGCACTTCTTCTATTGCTGACAGTGTTCAAATAATAGGCTCCAAAAATGTGAGCTAGAGTAAATATTTTTCTAAAAAGTGTTTAGATATCGTGGAACTAGACGTATTTGAACTTTTGGATATACTTTTGGATATACAAATTGTATATATATATATATATATATATATTATATACACAATATAATATAATAGTTGGGGCACATCAGGGGTTAGATAGGCCTACAGGGTGTGTGAGCCGGTTGCAATGTTTTACTGCAACTAAGCTGGTTTAACATTAAAATAGCATTTTGCACACTGATTCTATATAGATTATTCTTATTCAATGCGATGTTTGCAACAGTCTAAAGTACTCATTGTTAGAGAGGAGTTTGAAACAATCTATTTCTTTACGTTTTCACTGATGTTATGTAGATATAAAACTGTACACCTGCACCACACCAGGCCAATATTCACCAAATGTTGGAAGTTGTGATTTCTGTAGTGCCATCATTGAGAAGATTAATGCCCTCATTAACATCTACTTGGTGAGTTAGTTTTAAGCAAAGGTAGATGGAAACTCAGGAAAGACAGAAGGAAAGTAAAAAGGTAGACAAAAGAGAAACAAACACAGCATTATTAGTGATTTTTCTCACTCTCACTCTTTTGCGTGGCTATATTTTCATCCATGAGCGGCTTTGATATTGACACAAAATCTGGCGCTAGCAACACCATACAATTTGGAGTTGTGATTAACTTCACAGGTTCTTACTGGCCTGGTCTTTGGCCTGGTTCCCAGAATGCAATGTTTTGTTACCCCTGACACTCCCATCTCTGCTCGCTATGGGCCAGTAGACTGCAGTGAATGCAAGGTTTCTTGTCTCATCGCCTCCTTTCACTCATTTAAATCTCCTAAATCTTAAGAGTAATTCTCAATGTCTCCGTCTTCAAGTGAAATCATTCTTTCCAGCTCAACCAGTCTGATTAGTTGAGAGATAAACCGGGAGACATTTCAGCTGAAATCCTATATTCCCCCACAACAACAGCCAAGAACATTTATCTTCATGGCATCAAAGTAGGCATGCTTATGCACGTCTGTGGCACCAAAATGACATGTTAAGTCTTTGTTTTAACAGGTGCAACTGCTAAAAAAGCTTGTACAATTAGAGAAGGCAATCTGTAGAAGCCACAACCGTAGCCAGAAAACAACTTAGCTTCGCTGTCAGCTGTAGTATCATGTGGCGTGAGGTGTTTGCAACTCTTCTAAGCCAGTGATTAAAACACTTTCATGCCAATCAGCACTTTAGGGATAATCAAGATTCATAGCTCAGTTATTCCTTCCTGTGGTGTACTTTTAGCTGGTGGAAGTGTGGGTGACATTAAAAGGGATTACAGTAATCTAATTGTAAAGGAAACAAAGTTATCATTGACAGTTTAAGAGACACATAATAGAATTTAAAGACATTTGCATTGCTGTCTGCAGCTACTTGTCTTTTGATAGTACCATTAGAGGGCGCCAAATCAGACATTTCTATATTCTATATGTGCATTATATCCATTTCATAGAAACCAACTACTGAAGATGATCCAACTCAGAACTCACCTTTTATTGACCCAACTTTGCACAAACTGTAGCGATATGAAATCAAAGATATGGAAGAAAGTGACACGAGGCCATAGCTGAGTTTTCTGTTTTATTGATATTACACTACTTTAGAGCCTACAGTATGATGCAAGGTATTCCCTTTGAATAATTTCAAAAAGCACTGCAGTCTTAAAAATTACAAAAATTTTAACATACAAAATATACAAGAAATGACAATACAAGGCTCGGTAAACATCAGCTAAACCTGTATTTCCCTTTTATTTTACAAAACATATATATATATATATATGT